TGCCTACGCCTACAGTGCTCAGTTAGACAACTCCCAGTTTAATTTATTCCTGCTGGACAAAATGAAATGGGTCACTTGGGTTGGGTTCACCATCATCATCATCACCATCATTATCGACAGCATGATATCAGTGTTCGACGCTGATGCTTCGCCGCCGTACATTATTGATTTATTTGAAATCTTTATTGTGAAGAAAGGAATAAGGTTGGACATGGAAGGGACTTAGTGCTACATTACCACAATCATTCCGAGGTGCCTACATCTCCAGATACTCATTCAAGTAACCTGGATAGAAACTGTCAACCAGAACGCCAGTGACATCAGTTGAGAGCGATTTCGGTCTACAGGGAGAGAGTTATTAATGGGGTGGGGAGAGAGGGGAGGAAAAGCATGCGAAAGAGAAAGAAGGGATGCATCATCAGTAGCTTGTTTCTGCTTACACGCCATGCTGAAAGCAGCGGGTAAGGCAACCCTGCTGATGGCACCACGCGACGGCCAATGTAGCATGAGCTTAATGTTGAGAGTAGGTATCCTGGTTGTACGTGGGCTTGAGCGCCCACACCTAGGAAGGAGGACCATTAGGGTCCTCAACCAAAGCCTTTGGCTTAAAAGCAACGGTGTTTGGCAGTAAATGCACGCCACACTTGCTCCAACCCCCAACCTGCAGGGCCGAGAGAATATGTTCGTCAGACCTCTATCCATTGACCAACCTGGTATGACAGACTCTGTGAGGACACCCTCCCCCCCCCCAGTATAGCTCAATGCGTATAGTATAGCTCAATGAGGTAGACAAACCATCATACCACAGTAAGGCCCAGTTTTTTCTTGACGGGCTGGATTCATTTGCTGCGTACGTTGGTGCCAACGCTCAATGTTAGATGTCCGTCGGTTTCCCCATTTTTGTGCTACCGACTCTAGCTTTTCTGTTACAAAGGGAACGGTCCCTTGTCACTTTGAACTTTAAAATTTGCTTAACATGGTCTGAAGAACATGTATGAGTATTGATGAGACAGTGTTGAGGTTAAATAATAACCTTCACATGTTAACACAACTAGACTACTGTCGCCTTCCTCATTTCCAGCGTAATGAGGCGGTTTTATAGTGCTAATGAAGGGTAAAATTTAGATATATTGTGCGAATCTCGGGTAGATCAAGGGTCCTACTGTCCCAGGATTCAATGATGTTTATTGGCCTGCAGGACACTGAAGAGTGTAACCAACTGTTCATGTACTACCTATTTTGCGCATGCGTTTTCACCAGAACAAGCGAGCAATGCTCTGTTTGGAAACATTTTGAGTCTTATCATTGAATCGCTTGAACTACTTTGAAACGGAAAAATTTAGAAGCACTCTCTTTCCAAAGGTAATCTCTCAAGAAGTGACAGGGTACGTTCAGTCCTTAGACGCTTGTATCAAAACCTCTGATCCTGTCGTATACTGAGTTTTTCTGTCGCTTAAGAAGGATTCACGTTCAACCGACAAAGGTAGCGAGATATAAGGCAGAAAACTTGTTGGGAGTTATAGCATTTGAGTGGCTCAATAGACACCAAAAAGTACAAATACTCTGGGTAAAACGAACTAAGAATGATGAATTGAGTGTGAGACCGACGCGTCCATACAGAGATTGAAGACATAACGTTCATCGCTCATCATCTCAAAAGAGCTGACTCGTATTCTTCAGTGTGCAGACATCCTATGTCCGAACCGGACTGAGAGCTTGCGAGTACTACTGGCCTGTAAAGTTTAATTGATGGCTGTTATGAGGCAAAAACGAAATCCACAAATTGTTCAAAAATACCAAAACGATTCACAGAGATCATGACGAGGAAGGTTGGGGATACAGTGTTAAAAGCTAAACCTCAACGGTCACAACATCATCCAACATATTTTCTCTTCATTTTTCGCTTACCGGTAACTCCTGTACACTGAATTATCTATGGGCGCACAATCAGTGACGCTTCTACGGATCACATTTACACCCATATATAACAACTTCTCCGTGAGTAGTAAACTGGGTAGATGCTGCTGTACCAAATGCCTGTAGTAGACAACCAACTTGAGTTGTCTGGACTGTTGGGATTCAAACGCTGGTTTCCGAAACTCGACCCCGCACAGAGAACACGTAGTGTGGTCGCCTGTCTGAGACCCGTGGAATGCAACCAAATGCAACTGTAGTTGTGTCGGACTATCAAAGACCCGACCGTGACAGAGCAGGCAAACAAATGGACTTCCATGCTGATTCATATGCTGTGTTTCGCGCCTGAGAAATTCATTCATCTGTGTTTGTAGTTGGAATGGATAAAGTGTAAAAGTTAGTTGCACCTGAATCAATAATGTGTCTAACAAATCTCAGAAGTGAGTACGCTCATAGGAATAACTGTTAAGATGTCTTTAACTGAAAAAAGTAAAACCTCGGTCGATCTAGATGTATATCATTAGCTTCCCGCTCCTCGTACACTCCAGTATAATTAACTTCTTCTGGTACTCGGTCGACTACCCCTGTGGTCTAGACATACGACCTTCCATACAAGAAGCGCCACTGGAAAAACTTTTATAGAGACAATTCAGTGATAGCAGTTGTGCTTGCACTTTTTTCCACAGGTATTAATGTGTTCCGGGTTGCAGACACTGACTTATACAGCCCAGTTTAGTGGATCGCAAGCTGTTGCTTTTTAAACCGACAGCTCTCGACTAAAACTGGCCTAATATGCACAGATACACTGCTCTTAGTGTCCCTATTTCTGGTCTATTTCTGTATCTATCGCCAATAAAAATAAAGTGCTTTCGCTGTCTTCAGGCTACAGACTCGGTTTAAAAGAGAAGAATAATGGAGTAATTGAACATAACCAATGAGTTCTTTTTGTTATAGCCTGGAGACTCGGTCATTTATGCGTCTTTATGAGCATTCCTTAGGTCCTTAACTGTGACGGTTTGCCCTGTTTCCATAAATCTCCTATACTCAAACTTGGAGTGGAAGTCTCCTTCGTCTGGCGAACGGGCAAAAGATGACAGCCAAAATAGTAACATAATAGCAGTAATAGTAAGACTAATGAGTACACATAAATGTTTACTATCTCCTCTTATTGCCATAGATTGAGAAGTGGTGAGATATTTAAGCAAAACGACGCACATAAGGGATAGCTTCTTTTCCGTCTTGCCAGCCGTGAGCATATAAGGATACAAATACCTATGGCCCAAAAAATGATTTTCGATCTTTTCTGGGACGAGAATGGTTGAACTCCATTCCAAATGGCATCCGTGTACTCAAGTATGATAGAATGCTCTGAAAAATTATCAATATCTTTCCGTAGTCCTAAGATCTAGTAATCGTTTCCCACTTCTTGCTGTTGTTTTTGTTGACCTGGTTGGATGTGAGGTTTGTATTGTGCTGGGATCTGTCACGGGCTGTCTAAAAATAGTTTCATTCCGTCCATTAAATATACACCCGCGGCGAATCACATGAGTAGACTACTAATGCTTACTCGATGCCTGTCTGTTTGCGGTGGTCATAACGACCTACCTCTTACTGCCACCCCGGAGGTTCCACATTAGTTTGGGGACCAAGCATGTGCAGAATAAGAACTCCAGAGCATTACCTCCATATCAGCAATCCATCTATAATGACCATCTTTTGCCATTCTCGCTAGCCACCTGTCATGACCGTTATAGAATGAATTCCCAACCTCTGGTTAAACAAACAAGGGAAATACGTCTCCACTTTAAATGCCATACTGTTCCAAGGGTGGACCTAAATAAGGGTGGAGGCCACGTTAGGATGCATACAGCTCCTCGGAAGTGCCGACACACAACACTTTTTGCATCCCATCGTGGCAAATGTTCACGCGTGATATGGGAGATTTATTGCACTAAAACTAGCAAAAACTTGAACTGGAAATCGACAGGGGAAAGCAAATTAAATAAAACATTTGACAACAAGTGCAGTGTTTTACCTAAAATCCTAAATGTTTTTGGTAGTATAAAAGGTCAGGAATTTCCTATATGCACCTGAAAAGTTGAGATCCATTGGACCGGTTCTGACTCTCTATGAAAAAGCACCAGCAGGATTTTAGCCTGTGCTCTTCAACTAAAAACAGTGTGCGCCTTGTCAACAGTCTGTTTACCTTGGACTATACCTTGTAGAAATTCCGCCAAATAGTAGTAACCTCAAAGACAAACGCCCATCATTCTTTCTTATTACTGAAGATGCACATAATATGCAGAAAAGGGTAAAGTTAGTTTGAAGTCTTCCTCTGAAATCAAACTCGCGCTGTTCGATCCCAAAACTGCGGTGTTGCCCAACAGTTCATCGTTATCCTACCTGACCCTAGATGTGAATTTGCTGTTAAGTACGGTCACCAGTAAGTACCCAGTTGGTTCCACTGACTCACTCGCCCGCCGGCCCACTCAGTCAGTCAGTCGGTCAACCAATCAATCAAGTCAATCAACCGAGCAAACAACCAATCAGTCACACTGTTAATTGTTTACTCCGGTTACATGCACACCTACGAGTACACAGCCCTCGTCAGATTAGCCAATGAGTCAAAGGTGGCTAAATTACGACCGGCATGAACTTGCTGATCTTATCTTAGAGGCAGACAGTCTGATTCTGAAAAGCTCACTTCTTGAAAACATTGATGCTCCGACTCTTGATGAAATTTCATTGTCCTCCCACAATAGATACAACGAAAACAGGATAGCATTACTTTGACAGTCCTATCTTCCTGTGCTTTGTTAGAGCGGTACAAATCATTCCTTTGGGGAAGAGATGCGCATTTGGGAATGCTGGAGTAATCAGGTTTACCCGAGGGAATCGGGCGCTGACTGTTCATACCACAGTTGCTATTGTTCTTCTGATGGGTGATCAGTCTATGAGATTTTATTCTTCGCTCTCGCAGCCATTGTGTCCAGGTCAGCGGCAAATCCAAGCACACATGTTCCTGTGTGCTCAGATGTGCGTGCAATTCAGTTACTGTCTCAAAACCACACGGGCAAAAGTAACATCTGTGTCCGTGATCCTGACGCGGTGGGTAATATCGTATGTGGTGGGTGTTTCCCACCACAGTCTGACGTTGACGTAAGGCATGCTGACGTAATAACGCCGTTTTATGGTTCGCATTCATCTGTCTCATCCAGAAGATGACCGCTCGAGCACTTTTTAAATTTCGTACACCTAGTAACTTGTGTAATTCCGTAAGCCTCAGTCTAGCCATTGAACGGAAACTTTTTTGCATTGCGTCTTTGTGCTCCATTATGGTAACTTCCAGTAAAGCCTTCGATATCTCCTCATTCAGTTTTGTATTTCTTCCGGAGTTTCGCCGATTTTTGACGTTGCTTTCAGCAATCTCGAATAATTCTTGTTCTATCGTGTTGGATTTTTCACCTACTGGAGGCAACAGTTTAGCTTGGACGTCAAAGTAGCTGTCTTCTGTCGCTAAATTTTTATCCGGCTGAGTTGAAAAGGCCTCATGTGACTCGCTTATTACCACTTTGTGAGATTCTTGTATGGTGTCAGTTATGCAGGTCCGCGTGCCCGCTGCCTCGTTTAGTGGTGGTAGCTTCATGATTGGATTAAAAAAGTGAATCTCGTGCGAATTATTCCTGTGAGGAATTGTATACAGAGGCATGATACCCTGCTGTCAGATGTCCACGAAGGGTAAGTTTATATTGCACTGACAGTGACCTCGGGGTCAATACCGATCAATAAGATCATAAGACATGCTTTGTTCATTAGTGCCCTCGAATTCGATGTCGAGTATCTTGTGCCTAACCAGCTGTCAATCGGGTTCCAAAACTCACAGTTTAAGGGAATAAAGACTGGGCTGTACGAATTAACTACGAAAGGGCGTTCGTTCAGGAATCAACAGGAGTTTTAAATGTCCTTAGTCAAAAAACCCTCAGGATTACAGGCCCGATAAAGACATCACCAAATTTTAACTGGTACTGCATTACTCTTGGTGACGCAGTAGGGTATGCGACCTAATTTGTACCAAAACTAATCTTTTCAAACAAGGCTTGGAATGGATGAGCGTTCTGACTACCAATCCAGACTACCGGATTCGAATGATTCACTCCAAATCCAGTTTAATCACACGACTTCCCGTTGGAAGTCATCAACGGGAAACCCAAAAAACGGACTGACAAACGACAGACCATAAATGGATCAGACGGTCTTCAGTGGTTTGCATTTGCGGTAGGAAATTCTGAAAAATAGTATTTCAGATGAGCCATGGTGGATTAACTTACTTTTGTCTCCCAAACATTTCTTGAAGCAATATTTTCACTTTAGGCGTGTTGGTCCCTTCCTCGTGCTCACCTAGTGATTCATCTACAAATCCACCATTTTCACTGATCAGTCAGTTCTATATGAACGTCGAGTTAGCTATTTTAAACCAGGTGTTGTTTGTGAATTATCACTCAGACTGGAGACCAATGCATGGTAATCTACCGACGTGACGTCGATACTACTGATGGAGGAGGAATGTGAGTAGCATGTTTTCCCGTAAATCCGCTTTGCGTCTCTTGAAAAGTGAGATCTATTACGGAATTTGTGGAGTGGCTTAGTAGCATTTGCTTGGAGTTGCGCGACAGTCAATGAATATTCACAAAAGTTCAGGAAGACGCGTCCAAAGAGAGGATAGATATTCAGTTTTTGTAAACAAGTTGCATGGCCAATAGTCTGCAACTGTTCAGTTGGCATTTTCTCATGAATAACTCCGCACCAAAGGCCTTCTTCCTTTCACCGATAATACGTCCCGTAAGCGTGGAACCCTTACTGCATAACTCATCAAGATTGTTGTCCATCGGGTTGGAGAAGAGTTGCTGTCCATCAATAATGCATGGATAGAGTTCCTAAAATTGTGACACGCCGCGATAATTAGTGGCTTAATGAAAACCGGATTTACATTGAGTTCTATTGTGATGTCCGGAAAGTTAAATTTTGGAGTGCAATTTTAGAAATGTCAAGGTGACTATTAATCACAAAGATAGTATGTTCAAATTTGTTTTTATACCAAAGACAGCTTAATGTGAACGCTTTCCGTCAGTTCCCAAATGTTTATAAGTGGATTTGAGTCTCTAGCCGCTATGCTGCTGACTGTACACAGTATGGACTGCATAGTCTACGAAAAACGAATAATCAGGGGCCATGAGTGAATAGGCACTTTAGCTCACTTCTAAATTATCCAACTATTAAATGGCATCCCTCAAAAAGATCTCCTTTTTTATATTTTATTAGCATCTCTGAGGTTACGTATTGTCCTATACCACCGTAGGCAACATGACTCGTTGCAGTTGCTGCTTCTGGGGTTATACGCCAAACTTGAGTCAATCTTTCGTTGTTTGGCTCTGGTTTCCTTTTTGCCCCAACCTTCTAAATCTTCCTATTACAGTTTTCAGCGAATTATTTCCCCCCATTATTCTGCTGTTGACATATCTGTTGGAGTGGAATCAGTTCAATTATATCTAAGCCATCAAGGAAGCAAAAATACACGATTTTGTCTCTTTAGCAAACCCTTCATTGGTTTGACATTCCGTAGTTTTTTTTACTATCCGTTCTTTTTCAAGATTTTTTACAAGTGGCCGTTAACTATCTGTTTTTCTAGTCGGTACTCATTATAAATGTTAACCAGGTGACATCGATTCACGTAATACACTACTCATAATGTTGCTGAAATTCTTTGACAGCCCATTACCAGTTTCACCCTTCTTGAAGCTCACCAGGTGGGCGCGGTCCCCGAGTTACCGTCAAACTTACGTTCTACTTGAACCCAAGTTAACGAAATACACTCATCTGCAAACAAATTTGGTTTTGCGGGAGTTTTTTTTGGAACCCACTGAATCTCTGCGGGAGATTTATCTGGAACCCAGCTAAATCTCTCGTTTATGCTATTTTTAAGCGTCTCAGCAAAACTGGCTTTAAAATCAATCTTTTGGGAAAACAAAGGCCCAATCTGACTTTCGATGGCCTGCTTTTTAGTTCACATCACCAAAACCTCTGATGTACATCTACCTCTTCTCTTCTTCGTGGCACAGACGTGTGTCGTTTTACAGCGGTTTATTCTGCCTTTCACACTGATCGAACCATACAGCCAACGGCTGCTTAATACAGACAGATAAGTATATATCAGTAGACCACCAAACAATCGGCTACCATCTAGTTCAGTACTCACATGATGAAAGGTTTATAAGCAATTTTGGTGGGGTGAAATATCTTCCAGTGATGATTTCCAATCGAAGAGGGAACTTACACAAAACACTTTCTGGTCTCCCAAAGGCAGGCATTAAGGCGTGAATTCCTCAGGTTTTTAGCATATTCACTGTGTATTTACTATACTAGTTCTGCGGCAAAAATCACCGATCTACTTTCCCACCACTTCAGTTTTGATAAGCGGCTGGATGGTGCGGACTCCACTCAAAGGTATGCTGCTACCTTCAGTCATCCACAGCCAACGTTGGTCGAACATTCAGTCTGTTTTCACTTAACCCTTACCCTAGACGTCTGGATTTTGGTAAAAAGCCACTGATTTAAATGCATAAATTGAAAGTGCAGTGTTAAAAACTCTCAACTCATAAATTTTGGCTACTTTAAAGCTGACTGTTCGCAGATCCTAATCGCGTTTCTCAGGGAAGCAGGGCACTGGTGCAATTATTGTCTATACGGTGCCCTCTGGACGCGCTTGATTTTCCTTAAAACTAACAGCAAATTGTTCCACAACTGGTTAGGAATGTGCGTGCACTGATAAGAGTTTCATGAGCCATAATCTGCTTGGATTCTGCCATTCCATGTTGTCATCTCTCTAAATGATGAAGCCTATCAACGGAATTGATAAAAGACTTGCTAAGAATCAGTAAGTGTACGACTTCATCAGGTGGTTTCACCATCAGTCTGACTTTTTCTCGACGTCAATATATTTGTCTCAGTGAGTTGTCAACTATGGAGCTTCAGCAAGGCTCACACGTGTTTACCACGTCTTCTGCAACGATGTACGACCAAGTGGATATGCCAACATGGCCATAGTGATCTCAGTTGGTACATGAAGACTGTTCTACTCTATGGTTGGTGATGCATTGCAGCCACAATCTGAAGGATTGCGGATTCGAGTCCTACCTCAAGATTCTTGAGGTGTCCACCGTTCGTGTTTACTGGCTGGGATCAAACAACTATGCCATAACCGTTGAGTACTCCCCCAGCTCTTGAGTACAGGTTGGCTTTGTCTTAATTGACGGGATCCAGAAATGGAATTCCAGTAGCTTCCCGTTACTTGCAAGATACAGCATTGTTCTAGTTTGTCAATAAGCCTCCACACAAATCCACCAATCAATTCTTCCGAAAATTTCTCTGGGACATCTAAGACACTGAGCTACAAAATCTACATGCTGACGGGGGTAACCTGTGCTCTTTTTTCCTCCACTTCGCTGTAGCATTTTCAATAAATCCGCCCTTTATTTTCAGGAAACGAAAACGTCCCAGTAACTAAACACGTTCCCACAAGCATCATGAAAAGGTTCACCCTCCGTGAAACGTTTTCAACAATTTAATCCCCACATGGCAACATTACTGTGAATACGATGGGGATATAAAAACATTATGCGAGGTTGTAAAAAACAAACACGCATCTGCTTCTACACAAGCTGATTAACATCAAATGAACGCATCAGATAATCCCTATTGTGCGGATTTGCGAAATCGTGCACTGTGGTTCTGTTCAAAACGAGGGCGAAAGTTGCTTTATTATTGCTTTGTCGCAGGGTGAAAATGTTCGAAGGTTGTCGGTTGAAAAACGCTTGAAGCTATCACGGCGACCCTTAATAGTCAAATTAAAGCCGCTTGTGTAACCATATATTGCGTGTTCAACATACTAGAATACACAGGTGTTGACGGAAAGCAATAAACAGTTGTTCACCTACTGAACGTAGCTGAAGTCGCTAAAAAGATCAGGGTTACTTGGAAACTCTGTAAACAATGTTTATCAGCTTATGCAACTGACATATTCTATCAGCCAACTCCACTCTGATGAAGATTTCATCCTGCAGTTTACGGTCATCAGATATGATGAGTGGTACGTTATTCACAAAGCCATGAGCATCTTCTCAGTTTGTACCTTATACAACATATAAGTACCAAGGAGTACGAGGACATCAGTTCATACCAAAGCAAGCGGCTGGAGGTTTGGTCCTTAGAAACTCTAATCTGCAACATCCAAGGTTAAAGCTAAAAGCCCTAATTTTGCTCTAAAAAAAGCGGAAAGAAAAAGCTAGTCCGGGCACTAAAAACCCACCAGAACCCTGGAATTACCCCGTGGTTCATAGTTTATCCAGACCAGTCGTATTTAAACATTTGTTATTCCAAGAGAAAATCGAATCACAGATTTCCAGTAGTTTCTAGAAGCCTCAGCTTTCGATGATCAGCAATAGATTAAATGTAACCGGCGAACAAGGCGAGCAGATTTCGAGGTTGTTGAACTCACATGTGCATCAGTTTATAAGCTCCACAACAGTGGGTACTTAATAGAATGCTTAATTTCCAACGAATAATGAATTGATGTTGCAGAAATAAGCTATTTGGGCCCGGAGATTGGACTAACTAGCTATTGATAACGATGGACCCTATCTAGTATCCGCTTAT